CTGAATAACACATTAGAACAGATGGACCTAACAGACATCTACAGAACTCTACACCCAAAAGCAGCAGGATGCACATTCTTCTCAAGTGCACATGGAACATTTTCCAGAATAGACCACATACTAGGCCACAAAAAGAGCCTCAGTAAATTCAAAAAGATTGAAATTGTACCAACCAGCTTCTCAGACCACAAAGGCATGAAACTAGAAATAAATTACACAAAGAAAATGAAAAAGGCCCACAAACACATGAAGCCTTAACAACATGCTCCTAAATAATCAATAGATCAGTGACCAAATAAAAACAGAGATCAAGCAATATATGGAAACAAATGACAACAATAATTCAACACCACAAACTCTGTGGGATACAGCAAAGGCCATGCTAAGAGAGAGGTATATTGCAATACAAGCTTACCCTCAGGAAAGAAGAACAATCCATAAGAGCAGTCTAAACTCACAATTAGTGAAACTAGAAAAAGAACAAATGAGGCCGAAAGTCAGTAGGAGGAGGTATATAATAAAAATTAGAGCAGAAATAAATAAAATCGAGAAGAATAAAACAATAGAAAGAATCAATGAAAGCAGGAGCTGGTTCTTCGAAAAAATAAACACAATAGATAAACCCCTAGCCAGACTTATCAAGGAAAAAAAAAGAGTCTACACACATAAACAGAATCAGAAACTGAAGGAACAAAAGAGCAGCAGACTCACAGACTCTAAGAAGGGACTAGCGGTTACCAAGGGGTAGGGGTGTGGGAGGGTGGGTGGGAAGGGAGGGAGAATAGGAATGAGGGGTATTATGATTAGTACACATGGTGTGGGGGGATCATGAGGAATACAGTGTAGAACAGAGAAGACAAGTAGTAACTCTGCGGCATCTTACTACACTGATGAACAGTGACTGCAATAGGGTATGGGTGGGACTCAAAAAAATGGGTGAATGTAGTAACCACATTGTTCTTCATGTGAAACCTTCGTAAGAGTGTTTATCAGTGATAACTTTATAAAAATTTTAAAATAAATAATAAAGAGCATAAGAGAATATTATGAACAATAGTATGCCAGCAAATTACATAACATAGATGAAACAGACAAATTCTAAAAAACACATAAACTAACAAAACTAATTCAAGAAGTAAAAAAACAAATTAGAACTATAGCAAGTAAATACCTGAGTTAGCATTATAAAAAAAAACCTCCAACAAAGAAAAATCCAGGACCAGATGTATTAACTCATGAACTCTGTCAAAATTTACAGAATTAACACCATTCTCAAACTCCCAAAAAACAAAAGAGGAGGAAACTTTTTAATTCATTCTATCAAGCCAGTACAACCCTGATATGACATACAAATACAACACATCACAGGAAAAGAAAACCACACGTTATAAAGCTAGATGCAAAAATCCTCAACAAATACTGACAAACCAAATTCAGAAGAATACAAAAAGGATTCTACACTACGACCAAGTAGAATTATCCTAGGAATTCAGGGTTGGTTCAACAAACAAAAATGAATCAATGCTCTATACCATATTAATAAAATGAAGAAGAAAAAAATCATCATCTCACTAGACACAGAAAAGACATTTAACAAAATCCAACACTCTTTCATGATCAAAACACTCAAAAACTAGGCCTGTGGAGAACTTCCTCAACCTGATAAAGAGCATCTTTGAAAAACCCACAACTAACATCATACTTAATGGTGAAAGATTGAAAGCTCTCACCTTAAGATCAAAAACAAGACAAGAACGTCCATTCACTCCACTTTGAGTCAAGACTATACTGGGGATTCTAGCAAGGACAATTAGGCAAGAAAAAGAAATAAAAGGGACCCAGACTGTGAAGGAAAAGGTAATACTGTCTCCATCTGAAGATGACATAACCTCAAATATAGAAAATTCTAAAACAACACACACACACACACACACACACACACACACACACACACACATGCTCTTAGAGCTAATAAACAAGTTGAGCAAAGTTAAAGGATATACAATCAATACAGAAAAATCTGTCATATTTTTATACAATAGCAATAAGCAATCTGAAAATGAAATTAAGAAAACATTTCCACTTACAATAGCATTAAAAAGACCAAAATACTCAGGAATAAATTTAACAAAATAAGCACAAACCTTATACTCTTAAAACTACAAAATATTGTTGAAAGAAATTTAAGATCTAAATAAATGGAAAGACATCCCATGTTCAAAGATTGGAAGACTTTATATGTCAAGAGGGCAATACTCCCCAAATTAATCTATTGAGGCAATGTAATCCCTATCAAAATTCCAACTGTCTCTTTTGCAAAAATCGACAAACTGATTCTAAAATTCGTATGGAAATGCAAGGTATAGTATTTCCTTATATATAGATATATATACATAGATAGATAGCCTGACAAATCTATCATACCTATCTGCCAAAACAATACTACAAAAGAAAACAATTTTCCCTATTTCAAAACTTAATGCAGAGCTAAAATAATCAGAACAATTTGGTAAGAGCCTAAGAATAAACATATAGACCAGTGGAAGGGAAATGAGTATCTAGAAAAAAACTATTAAATTAATGATCAATTGATTTCCGGTAGCATAAAAAGCAAACCAATGGGGAAAAAACAGTCTTTACAACAAATGGCCCTTGGACAAGTGGATATTCACATGCAAAAGAGTGAATGAATCTGGATCATACTTTATACCATATATAAAAATTAGTTCAAAATGGATCACAGACCATAATGTAAGAGCTGAATCTTTGTGAATTACAACTCAATAAAAAAAAATTTTTTTAATAAAAGTAAAGAGCAGTGTTGTGCTATCCCTAGCCCTGAGGCCAGTCTGATAATTATAGCGTCATTAAGCAAAAAAATCATCCAGATGAATATATTGTTATAGGACTAGAAAAAAATTCTACAAAATCTAGCTACCCGTCCCCATGTCTCTCTCTGCTAACAGGCCTATAAGAACTAAGCTTTGATTACTGTATTTAGTAAAGGGAAAAACATCCAATCTGAAATGATCTCTCATCCCACAATACATTTCTCTTCCTATGAACCCTGTCTCTGTGAATAACCTGCCATAGCCAGACACCTGGAAATAATTTTTGATTCCTTCTCTCTCATCCTTCACATTTACTCAATAAAGTACTACTACCCATTTTAGCTCTTAAGCGACTAGATATTTTCCCATTCAGTACCCTTATTCTATCCCTACTTGACCACTCTGTTATCTCTCCTTTACACCGTTTCTAGTTTTGCCTTCCTTACATCTAATTTATATGCTACTATCAGAAAGATCTATTTAAACCAAAAGTCTAACCACTGAAGTTGTTCAAAGACTCTCCAGAAACTACATCACCTGGAACCTATTTAGGTCCCCAGCAAGCATCACTGCACATCACTCCGAGCCCACTTTACACTAGCAATACAGCTCCTAGTTAGCTGTGCACACCACGTTGTTTCATACCTCCTCTGCTTAAGCTAGGCAAAGCCTAGAAAGGCTTTCCTAAACACTCAAGAAAATATCTCTCTCACCAATTTCCCTAGCACTTTGTGTGTATGATTCAGTAAGCATTTCATCACTTTGTACTTAGTATTTTTGTCTTCTCCCCCTCATCAGCATACCAGTGGCCCAAACTCCATGTAACTGTCATTCATTCATTCATTATGTGTAATCACTAGACACATTATAGCTGAATGAACAAACATCACAGCAACAGTCCTTTTTAATTTATGTAACAAGAAATCAATAATCATAACTGCTTCAATATTTATGAAGGCTTTTTACATTTTAATGCAAATACTTTATTAAGATACGGTGATTTAAATGCCCCCTTAATATGTCAACAAAGACAGCAACACACAGAGAAAAATCGCTGCAATCTGATTATAAACTGAACCTGACAAAAATAAATTTTGAACTCTAGGAGTTTAATATCTCCAGACGTTACATTAACGTGACCTTTTACATTAACAAAACAGAGAGAAGCGGAGAATACTCTCACAGTAAAGCATCTCAAAACAGCATCTTTATTAAAAGAAAATGCATAATTAGAATCCCAACTACTCGTCCAGGCTTAGGTGTCCGTTCAAGACGAGAAGTTTCATCACTATAAGGAACTCATTTCAAAGGATCAACCCTCAAGTTTCTCACAGTCGGGAGAATCACATGTCACTGACCCCTATCCAAAACAAATAACAGGACGGAAAAGCTAATTCGTTTAAGGCATCAGGAAACATTTAACACACCTTTGAAAGTCACACTAAGCAAATGCTCTCTCCACCTCCCTGATCTCCAGGTCTCCTTCCATCACACAAGAAACCGCCCAAGTACCAACCGAGGCACCGCGTCGGACCCAGGCCAGGCCCGGGACAGACCGAGGACGGGCTTCAGGACCTCTGACCACAGCCGCTCAGACCCCAAAGCCAAAGTCGGCTGCTGCCTCCGCCGGGCGGCTCCCGCGCCCCGAGGGCCAAATGACCCTGCTCGCGCCCAGACTCACCCTGCGTAGCTTTTGGAGAACCAACCCCAAGTACGGCTGAGGGGCAGTCCCGGGCCCCTCCATCGCGCCAAAGCTACCTTGGCTCCGGTGGCCCCGGCCGGGGCCTGGCCGAGCCACAATAAGCGGCAGAGAACGAGCGCCGCTGAATCCGGAACCCAAGCCCGCACCCGGCTACAGGAGCAGACCACTGCGGAGCCGGCTTCGGGGGGTTACTGGAGGGAAGCGCGCCGGCAGGCCTCAGTGTTCGCGCTGCCCGCCCGAGGAGCCTCGGCCCCGACGTTACGCTTTAAGTTCCCAATGAACCGAAGGTCCACGCCGGTCGCGCATGAGCCTGCAACTTGCCTTCACCCCTCACCGGCCCAGCCCTCGGCTTGGTTTCGGCCGGGCCGCGGCGGGGAGGCGGGGAGGCGGGGTCGGGAGTGGGGGGTGGAGCCCGCAAGTTTCCCCTCCTCCTTCGAACGCAGTTCGTAGACGTGTCCTTGTCTGGCATTCTTAAAGGCGACACGCTCAGCTTGGCGCAGCCGCCCACCCTTTGAAGTCGAGAACCTCGGCGCTGCCCTGTGTATTGACCGCACAGCTCCGAAGACCAGGGCTATGGCCCGGAACCCCCTACATTGGGTGGCAGCGGCGGCAGCGAGGCCCCTCCGGAGAAGGGCCAGCTCCAGGGCCAGCCTCGACCCCCATTTCCCTCGCGCAGCCCCGCAGGAGCCTGCTATCTGCACCCCACGGAAGTCCTGACGGCGTCGTACCCCGGGGGAGCGCGCGGGCCCTGGAAACTGGCCGCCGCCGGTGTTCCAATCAGAAAATGGCTTGCAGGGCCTGCGCCTGTGCGTCGTGCCAACCGTGCCCGCACTTTGGACTTGGGACGGGAAGACGTCTCGGGTCAGCTGTGGCCTGGGCAGAGTTTAACTTCTACAACGAGCGGGTCTCCTCTGCCCAGCGAAGGGTTCGAGGCGTTTACTCACTTTTACCTGCGTTACCTGGGCACTTGCTAGGCAGAACTGCCTTAAATCCCATGAGCTCCTGGTTACAAACCCGTGTGGATCCTCAGGGACCCATGTGGTTCTCTGAGAAGAGAAGCTAAAAGTAGCACCTTGCTGTCTAAGTTTAGGACACTATTTTTAGGTCCTGAGTAAAGTACCGGGGGCTGGATTTGTTCGTGGGAGGTGTTTTTAAAGGATAAACCGTCACCAAATCTTCCTGGCCAGCACGATAATCCTCACCAAATTCGGCCTTTTAACTCAAGTCCTTGGTGAAGCAACTCAAAAGCGAACAGATACTTCTTCCTAAACCAGTCACCCAAGAGAACTCAATGAAATCTTTTATTGAACAAAATTTAAGGAAATTTTCCTAATGGAAGCACTACCAGCAACAGAACTGCTGTGCCAAAAAGAATCCAAACATGGCCCAAGTTCACAGCAAGTGATTTTCAGGACCAAAATGCTGCCTAGCTTTTTGGAGCTCAAAGTGCTCACTCTAATTTGCCACATCAGCCTAAGGAGTCACAGGAACTATCAGTATCAGAAAGTAGCAGAAATTGCTTAATAATTCTCCATCTCTAAGGTATTACCCAACTTTCATGTGTTGGACAAGTGTGTATTGAAATTAAATTATGTGAATAGCTTATTAAAGTCAAAAAAAGCAATATATAAATGCTAGCATTTAGAATACTCTCAGAACAGTACGCCTCAATTAGAATGTATTATTTGAGAAAACATTCTCTAGTAAGTATGAAATTTTAAGGGAATTCAATCATTTTCACCTTTCAGGACTTAAATAACCTCAAACATTTAAAAAAATCCATTTGCCCTTCCAAGGAAGTCTTTGGCCTTTCCAATTTTTAAATAATTACCATTCCAAATATTAAAAACAAAGCTTAGGGACAAAAAAAGCTAATTAAATTTTGAAAAGAAAAATCTAAAAGTCTCCCCCATAACAAAATCACAGTAAAACTTAAACTCAGTGCCAGATTCAAATCTAATTTCTTCCACTGAAGTCATAGAAACTTACCTCTTCCTCTAGATCTTTCAACTCCATTTTTTATAAAGTTCATGTTAAAATATTCTCACGTGTAAATAAAAGTTCTACTGACCACCTCATATCCTTGAGAAAGATTTCAGATTCTAATACATCCTGAACTCTTTCTGTTTCCACATAGTCTGTGATCCTGTTTTGACACTTGTGTGGTAAAGGGGTGCTATAGGTGGAGCTGTGAGTACCAACCCATCATGCAATTTCATGGACATCAGTTCCAACTAACTATACTTATTTTTTTAATATCACACATTTAACTGTCCTCTTAAAATCTACAAATGAAAAGAGAAATCCTGAATTTGGAAACTGATAAAAATTAAATAGAATGTTTTATTCTATAGTCTGTTGATATAGCGTACATGATTTTCACCATGTAAAAGAGATTCAGAGATTTTCCGTAAGTAGAGAAGAGATTTTGCCATTTTATATAGTCCTGCTTTAAAGAAAATTAAAAAGTAAATGCTGTGACAGCTACAGAAAGCATTCAAAAACATTGGGAACATGTTAACCAGTAACTTTGTCCACAACCTTGAAACACTCCCCCTTATGAAGGGCCCCATTGCAAAACTGTAAGTATTAGTTACTCCCATTTAATTAAACAGGCAGTATCACAGGTTATGAGATCTAGTCCTTTGGAAGAAAATCAAACAGGCCAAGCCACATTTTCATTCTCTGTGCTAGTGATGCAAGAGTTGTACTCAGAACATAATGGATCACGAGCTACCTGTTGAGCTAGGGTTGGGTAATTTCCATTGTTTAGTCCACATATAAATGAAGCATTCTAGTTAAGAATATATAAATATTAGAAATTATAGAATAAAGGATATAAAAAGTGGTATTAATTTCTTTTACTTAATTCAAAGAAAGTATGCTGTGTACAAAATCTAACTGAAATTACCAGTGAGTAGAAACAATTATCTGAAACATTTAGGCAAGAAGAAAATGAAACTCTTTAGCATAAATTTAACTTGAAAGTTGTTCAAATTTTCTATTTAATGCAGCTATTCAAAACTGTATTATGGATGCTTAATAGATGCACTAAGATTGTTAAAAATTGTTAGAATTCTAGATCACCCTTGGAAGTCTAGGGCCTCGGCTTCAGAACATGAGTGCAATTATGAATGTTCTATACAGCACTCAAAGCCCTGTAGAAGCTAAACAGGTGAAATAAATGTAGGGAAATGAAGAATGCATATCTATTCAGTGTAAGCACTATTTAACTTGAACTTCTTATTGTCATATAAGAATAGGAAACTATCTATTACAAGTTCTGCTTTTTCAAGAGAACCCAGAAATAAGGATTTTTATATGAATTCACCTTTTTAAAGGTTGGCAATTGGTTCATAATTTTTTTAACAATGTGCAAGCCAGTTTTGACCAGCAGCCTGTCATCTAGCCTAAGGTTCTGATATTAAAGAGTTTTAAACCTGAGACTTCCCCAGAGAATAAGTGACCTTCCAAGGTCACAAGATAATTAACATTAATATAAGTTCAATATTTTCATGTCTAAAGAACTTCAACCAAAATGGTTCAAGTAAAATGTATTTGACTATATTTACTGAATCCACAAAAACAAGCATACTCTGCATAGCTTTTATTGAATAAGCACTTCATATGAGAGGTGACTATGATATACTGATTAATAAATTATTTTTTTTAAGTCAGTAACTTCATTGGTATAATTTGTGGGGGAGGGGATGGTAAGTGAGGGATATGTCAGTAAGACATAACAAGTACAATTAATTCCATTATGACTTTTTATTACCATCACTATTATTAGTTTTTCTTTTTCCTATGCTGGACTGGATTTCTAAGTAAAGTTTTTAATCAATCTTCAAGACCAAATCATACAGAGTAAATTACTCACTTCTCTGGGTTTATTTACCAGGGAATGTCAACTCTCTGGAAACTAGCAAGGAAAGGGAAGAGGAAGCCTCTGAAAGCAAAACAATGTCATTAAGCCCAGTTTTCACAAAGACTAATTGGTGACACCACCATCTACCTGGTCATCCTAGCTAGAAACCTGGTAAGTTATCCATACTTTTATGTTTTCTTCTCCTTGATACACTTAGTCAATCATCAAATATGATTATTTCTATCTACAGAAGATATATCTGGTTTGTCCTTCAAATCATTTTAACAACCACCATCAGACTGGAGGTTAAGAAATGTAGGCTAATGGGCCAACCCAACCCACAGAATGTTTTATCTGACCTGCATGATATTTCTTTTTAATCTGAGTATTTGCCAGCAATAAAATTAAGAGATTTCACACACACACACACACACACACACAAATCCAGATTTCTAATTTTTCTTGACATAATACAAGATTTGGCAAAACCAAGCTGAAAGTAAATAGCAGTACATCCTTTGGAGAAGGCATACACTCTCCAGTTGGTTCCAGTTTCACTTTAATTAAGCTTCACTCATTTCATTTCAGTTTGTAAACTCTGATTTAGACCTTCACCAGTCATTTCCTGAACAAATGCAGTAACTTCTTGACTGGGCTCCCTGAATCTGGTCTTTACCTGTTCAATCCTTACTTGATAATGTTGACAGAGAGTTTATAAATGAAACTTTTTCATTTTACTCCCTGATTAAAGTTCTCCAATAGTGCCTCATCATCTACAAGATAAGAGTTCAACTTCCTATCATAACATACAAAAAACTATTCTTGATAATCTCTGTATATATCTTCAGTGTCACCTTACATTCAATCAGACTGAATAGTTGATAGTCCTCCAAAAATTCCATGGTCTCTCACACTTGTGTACTTTTAAAAATGCCCTCTCCTCAACCTAGAATGCCCATTCTTTCCTTGTCTGGAACTCCTACCCTTCCTTCAAGATTAGCTCAAGTATGATGTCTTCTGAGACACTCCCACGCTCCTCCCCACCCTCTCTTTCTACCACTTCCAGTCTACTAAACAGCTCCTTCTATGTATCGGTAGCATCCTACAGCATTCCAGCATTATTTTATTATGTATTATCATTATTTCTTTTCCTACATGTGTCCTCCAACTACAATGATCTCCTTGAAGGCAAACACTGTTAAATTTCATGTTTAAATGAATTTATTTCCTCAATTATTAAATGGTAGCAGTAGATGGGAGAAGGAACCAACATTTGTGAAAGGCCTCCTTTGTGTTAAGTACTACAGCTAGGTCCCTTTGCAGTATCTCATTTACAATAAATGGAGGATTTAGTAGACTTTACAATAAATGAAAAAATGAACAAATTTTGGAATTTTTGTTATAGCTTGGTTAATTTTTTTATATTAGTTCCTTTTGTAAGATTCTCACATGATACCATTTTTGAAGTCACAGCTATCATTCAGATACTAATAATTTGTTTTAAGACTCATTTGTAGTTCATACTAATTCTGAGGTATTAGCTCTTTTAGTATAATTTTTCCTGATTTGAAAGAAAGAGAAGAAAAAAAATACTCAAGATCAACAAAGTTTAAGGAAATGTTTTTCAAACTCCTTAACAATATCCATGCAACCAAATGTTCATATAAGGAGAAATCTTACATGTAAGACTTCATAGAAAGAGAAACATTATGTTAACATTTGCACGGGGAGGATTCACTCAAACATAATTTTCAACTGCTCTTATATTTGGCAAAATTAGTAAAATTATTGCAAAAGATAAAAAGTCAACTTACCCTTTCTGCAAGAATTACAATTGGTGAAAATGCACAATTCATGAAATCATAAATATCAAATTGAAATAAATATTTCAAAATCTGAGGCTCAGAAGCATCATCTGTCAATTCATAAATAAAAATATGTTAATACTTGATATGATGTAATTTTTTAATCTAATTTCTTCTTTAATTATTGCATTAGAGAGCAAATAACTTGTATCTTACCTTTTTGAGCAATGTAATTTTGAGAAAACAAAGAATAATCAGTTGAAAACTGATTTGGCAAAGTGTTTTCCACAGATATGTCTATTTCCATCTTAGTGGGTCCTTCAGTATCTAGTGAAGCTTTTGATTTATCTTCATTATTTTTAGAAGATGGAGTTTTGAAATGTACTTCTTCTTGAATTCTCATAGGTATCTCTGTTTTAGAGACCATATCTGCAAATAAAGAGAAAAATGTTTTGGGATTTTCTTAATATTTGCTTTGTTATGGGCTTCCCTTGTATTTTTTAGGCAGGTCATTCTTTGAATTTTTGTCATTGTGACACTATATTATGGGAAGAATTCACTAAAATATAAATTATAGCCTGTGTTGGTTCCTACTGTTGGTGTCACAAATTACCATATACTCAGTAACTTAAACAACACAATATATTGTCTTCAAGCTTTGGAGGTCAAAAGGCCTAACAAAGATGTTGGCAGGGCTGTGTTCTTTCTGGAGGTTCTAGAGGAGTATCCATTTCCTTCCTTTCACTTTCAGGGGGTCATCTGCATTCCTTGGCTCATGGGCCTGGCATTCATCTTCAAAGCCAGTAGTGTAGTATCTTCTAATCTCTCTCTCTCTTACTCTGCCCCTCCCACCTTCTTCCTGTAAGAAATCTTGTGACTGTATTGGGCCCACTAGCATAATCTCTGCATCTCAGGATGCTTCATTTAATCACATCCACAAGGTCCTTTTTGTCATGTAAAGTAACATGGGTCTGAGTTTCTGATAATTAAGACATGGACATCTTTGAAGGGCCATTATTCAGCTTGCCACATAGCCTTTCCTTTATTCCTTGACCAAGGAAGAATTTTTAAAAACTGTATGTAATTCTATTCTCTACATTGCCTTTTTGTTTTAAAAACAATACTTTAAAAAACTAACATAAGGTTATACTATATAAACTTATGAATAAGACAGTAAATACTTCCCCATTGGATTTAATTCCTCTTAGACACATTTACTCTCCAAAAATGTATAGTATTGAAATGCCATTACAAAAATATATATCCCCTACTGTTAAAGAAATTGGCAACATAGATTTTTCTTTACTTTATCTGCTAAAGAATCAAAAAAACAGTCAAGTGACCAAAATTATTTATATTATTTACAGCCTACTTGGTGTTGATAGTTAATTCTGTTTAATAAATAGAACAAACTGAACTAGTTATACAAAGAAAGACAATATTAGAACTTAAGGCAATTAATTTCCAAGGTCTGAAATCTGTTCCACTGGATCATCCATATCTACAACACATTTTGCTAATATGTACTATTAAATATAAAAGCCATTATTGTGAAACTTTAATGAGGTTACTCCAAAGATGGAAGAACCACCCATTACTAAAGAAACTGTATTAGCTATTTGCACAGAAAAGCACCCATATTATGATACTTAAAACAAATCTGAAATGATAAGATACCAATGAAATGTCAGGTATTGTAGTTTTTCTTCTCTCTTGGAGCTTCATTAATTTCAAAGTTCAATCTTTTTGCCCCCTCATCCCATGTCCAGTATAGTATATTGTCTTACATTATATCATATATCATATCATCCAATGAGTATATAAGGGAAACAATGATGAATAGAAGGTTTTTAAATCCTAAAATCAAATATATCCCTTATACCAAGTGAAAATATTGGAGGAAGATATGATTGAGAGCATCCTTATTGGTTAGTAATTAAAGGATGTTTTATATCTTAAAGCACATTATATTATTTACTAATTCACTAGCGTGTGTCGTATAAAACAAATAGAGGTAATGTAAGTCCAAAATATATTCTTGACATCATTATTTAAGTTATTTTAGGAGTTATCCATGTATTATAGAAATTTTTAATAGAAAACTAGCAACATTATAATAACAGTTTGTATGTTGGCTCAGTAGAGGGAAAATACTGATTTTATAAATAGAATTTAAAAATAACTGCAAGATATTCTCATTCATCTGTTAGTAAAATACATGCCTCCATGAGTATACACAGGCATATGCTTATTTTCTCTTTCAGATCCAATAACAGCACAAGGTGTGCTGAGAAATCAAGTTAAAATCAATCCTAACTTGCATTTTGAATGTCATTTCTATACAATGCATGTGTGCTGGAAAAGGTAAAACTTCACATGAGATTGATGTTTCCTTAAATTGGTGATCTCATGAGTTCACATATTACTTAAATGAGGGTGTCATAAATTTCTGAAAAGGATCTCAAGAGATTGTAAAATCTTTCCCTGCTTTTTTACAGAAGTCTGATAAATCTTTACTGTCAGGTAAAAATACATATTATCCTACTAATAATATGATCATTACTTAAGGGAAAATGTTAAGTTTTATTCTGCATTTCAATGAAACAAGGAATTCAATGATAGAATAAAATAAATTAAATTAAATATTCCTGACTTTTCAGCTTTTTTATGCCACATATTAAATATTTAAATGATTTATACCTTGAAGTGATATGCCTGAGTTCAAATTTAGAGTACAAATATGTATGCACATCTCTTGAGAAACCTCATTTAAAAAGGATTACCCTTCCCCAAAATTAATTTTTTAAAATTATGTCAAAACTTGCCATGTTTTTAATGTTGTATCATATATTTCTGTACATGCCATGTCAAATAGCCAGTTATTTTAAGACAATGCAATTTTCAAACATAGTTTAAACTGATCATTTGATTGAACCAAATAATCAAAAAGCATGAAAGAAAAAAAATTCTACTAGTTCTAGCCTGAAGTACAGTATTCAAGTAAACTGTGGGATTTAATTATCAGTTACTTTTTAAAACAAGTATAGAAAAGTATCAGTGTAGTCCTGAAAACAATAGTAAGTAAATAAGTAAAGATAGTAAGTTAAAAAATTATGTCAAAACTTGCCATGTTTTTAATGTTGTATCATATATTTCTGTACATGCCATGTCAAATAGCCAGTTATTTTAAGACAATGCAATTTTCAAACATAGTTTAAACTGATCATTTGATTGAACCAAATAATCAAAAAGCATGAAAGAAAAAAAATTCTACTAGTTCTAGCCTGAAGTACAGTATTCAAGTAAACTGTGGGATTTAATTATCAGTTACTTTTTAAAACAAGTATAGAAAAGTATCAGTGTAGTCCTGAAAACAATAGTAAGTAAATAAGTAAAGATAGTAAGTTAATTATTCATGTCTAAATTTGCTCTTTTAGTTATGAATTTAGCACAGCACTTTCATGCTGCCACTTATTTAGCATTGCTTAAAAGAAGTCCCAAGTGAGCAAATATATATCAGTAATTTAATAATGCAGCCTGTGGACATTAAGGTTAAAAATGAGCAATCAACTCAGAAGACTGAATACTATGGGACTGTTGTAAATACAGGACTCAAATAGTTATCTACAATGATGTTTAATGACATTAGGGGAAAGGGGGCTTATTCAATAATTAATTACACTCAAATTTATATGTGTCTAAGTTCATTCTTTTAAGATATTGTTTTAAGTTGCATTTGAAATAAATCTGTTAAGAAATATTCATTTTTTCAATCTTCATTCATTCAATATTTCCTCTATTTTCGTATTTGCAGTTTCAGAGTATTGTTCTCATGACTTAAACCTAAGCTTCAAGATTTACATTAGATCCAGATATGCCTTTCTTACAATTGTTATAAACAGAATTTTAAGTCAAATAAAATAATGAATAATTTTTCATTTTTAACTGTACTTAGGAAACAGTTTGTAGTCTTTTTGTAAATAATTATTAATATTGTAATAAAAATAACTGTTGCCTAATTTATGTCTTGTAAATCCTCTATCAACTTTCTGTAAAAGTGGTTATCTCAAGTCTCGGCTTTTCACAAATATTGATTCAAGATCAGTGGTTTATTTTTCTTATACACTTTTTCTAATTAAGGCAAGTTTTGTTTGTTATTTCCTAATATACACTTTTTCTAATTAAGGCAAGTTTCATTTGTTATTTCCTAATACTTGTTGAAATTATCTAAAAATATTGGCTGCAGTTTTATCTGAATTCCTCTTTTAGTATTTTTTTAAATAAACTGCATGACCCCAGTTTGGTTTTCATTCAGTTAATGTTACGATGTTTTAAAATAATCTACTTTGTTTATAGTATGGCATATCCTTTTTCTCAAACTTCAAGGAATTTCTGAATATTTTTATGAAAGTCCCTCAAAACTAGTCACAATTGCATAATTTTCATTTGACTGTTCACCAGGTTTTTCATATTTAGAAATTCTCCCAGCATCACTATATAGAATGATAAATTCTACTAAAATGATATTCAGGATCCCTGGAGTTTCTGTAAGTGTGCTCTAAAATATTTTCATGTATCTGTATTTTGAATCTTCTGTATTTCTGGACCTCATATTGTTTTGCTTTGTTTTAATTGCTCTCTCTTTTTCTTTCCAATTACTCTTATCTGCTTTTTGACAAATATTCCTTTAGGATCTAACAAGTTTGGAACAAAATAATTTCTCCATAGCGTATCACAATGTAGGTCTCTAATGTTTTTAGTCATGAAAAGCATCACACCTACACCTTTCTCATTTAGAAAAGAGTTAGAATCTAATCTATGTTCTGGTTGAGGATGTCAATCAACTTAGAGCTCAGTATTAAGAAATGGCATATAATTCTGGAAATTCAAGAAAACCACATAGTTCAAATGGAAACGTGTTTCCTTCTGAGTTTGCAACACTGTCTATCTCTTCTTGTGAAAGATTTTCTGTCATTCCAGGGTTCAATTGAAGCCAACATTTGCTGAATTTCTAATCTGCCCAACACAGAGACATCAGAATAGAGATGTGGGAAAGTCATGTTTCATGATTCTTTACTTAAAATACAGTTCACATGTTTTTAATCATAGGTGTTACTAGATACCTGGATCTAGATAGAGAAATAGCCTCTGACACTTGGCTCTCTTCTGTTGCCCTCTGTTGAGCTCCCAGAATTGAGATAATTTGAGGGGAAAAATTGAAAACTTTCTACCTTATTTCTGCTTGAGTTTCCTTATTATCTTGCACACTTAAAGAAAATCCCTGTGATCATAGTTCTTGCGGGGGAGGGGGTGGACTACAGACCTAGAATAAAATAGGATTTAGGAATCAAGACTATTTTGAAATACTGTTTCTCCTCGCTTAATTTTTTCCTCTCAAGCTTAGTTTTCTAAGAAAGCCATTTAAATATTATTATAATGGGAAGGTAAAAATGCCCTAAAAAGAGACTGTAAATGAGCAAAAATCCTTTTACCAGAATAGACAATCAATGGACATTGTCTAAAATACTTTGATCAAAGCAGAGCAATATAAACATGCCATTTAGAAAGTAGAGATAAATACTAAAGGAAATTTGTTTTAAAAATAAATAAATTATTGTCCCTGGGACAGAGGTGGTAGGAGAGATGGACAGACGGAACAGAAATTGCTTTTGTTTAAAAAATAGCTTTAGAGCTATTTATATTTCTAAACTGCTTATATATAATACTTTAATGAAAATAAAAATTTATTGTAAAATACCTTAAGATCTTCTTGGAACACCCACATACTTCCAATCATTCTTTCTCCTTTGGGATTTTATTTTATAAGATCTAAGTCCCAGAGTAAACAAGAAATTGATAAAAAGTCTAGTGACAAGGTTATTGTTCATTATTGAATATTTTGAGAAACATGGATTCCTGGACTTTTTCATGATTTGTACTTATAAAAATAAATTCTATTTCCAAAAATAAAGTACAGTACAGATATTTTTATACTAACCTGACTGACTGTATTTGCTCCTCAACATTATAACTTTCATATTATCTGTAGGATAATTTTCAGCTGAAAATTCTTCTGTTTGATCATTTCCAACTACATGATTTTCATCCAGTATCTGTTTGGGAAATGGTAAATCTGTTTCCTTTGGAATATTCTGGAAATTCCAAGTATCAAAATTATACAAGATCTTTTTAAAATATGGCAAGGCATCTGAATCATCTGCTTTCTCTAAGGCACTTTTCTTGTTTATTTGATCTTCCATATCCATAACTTTTATTGTTTTAACTTCCTGTTCCTTATCAGGGTCCAATTCACTTGGAGGATGTTCATGTTTATCTCCTCCATCTCCTTCTTCATTTTTTCCATCATCTGATATAATTTTATTTTCATTAGCATATGCAAAACCCAGCATACCAAAACCAAAATCAAACCAACTTCGCTTGAGAGTTGAGCTGTCATTAGTGATTGTGTCTTCTTTTTCTGTTAATACTTCTGCACATGGAACTGTAGATTCTTCCTCAGTTCCTACAGACTTAGGAACATCTTGAGGTGGTGGATCACTTTCTTTGGACAATAATTCAAGCCCAGTATCCTCACCTCCAATACCTAAGTATCTTGTAAATCCAATGTCAAACCAACCAGTGGCTTGAGGGTTGAGAATGTGTTCTGACTCAGATACTAGTTCAGACTGTTTCTTTGGCACTGAATTGAGATCTGATTCAGGTTCTTGCTTATGTTCTGTTTGGAGCTCACCATTATTTAATTCCTCTAGGCCAATCTCACCTTCAGCTGCCATTTTTCTACTTTGAAGGGAGCTTTCTTCTGAAGGTTCAAATTCCTTTCTGAATCCAAACCACGCTTTCACTTCAGACACAGTTGAGGATGGTGGGACAAGATCTACTTCTGGCATAGGATCCTGTTCCACATTTCCAGCTTCTACTCTGTCCCAGTCTTTTGAGTTACTACTACTTCTGATATCTTCAGAAGACTCTAATGCTGGAAATTGGTCTTCAAACAAAGTACTTTCAAAAGTTGAATAAAATCCAGATTCTATCTGAAAATCACTTTCATGTACACTAGATTTTTCATCTTCATCTTCTTTATATGGATATATTTTTTCACTGCTTTCACTGTTTAACTCACTATCCTCATTTTCAAATATGTAGCTTGCTCCAAGAAGACAAAGAAAATCAGATTCCTAAAAGGAAAAAGCAATTGTGATTGACATAAATATACAAAAATTCTTTGTTTCTCCCCAAATCATTTAAAATGGAAGACTATGATTTTCCCCAAACCACACAACTAGCTCAACATCAGAGCAAAAACTAAAATCAGCTCTCCTTATCTCAAACACTTGTATCACAACTCACTTCTCAGGGTTAATGATATAAACCTAAACGAAAAATTTTTTTATCTTAGGATTTATTTGTTATAAAATAGTTGAAGAATTTGATAAGTAGATACAATCAAGGCTCTGAGTATATTCTGCAAATAAACTCATTAAAAGACATACACATTCACAAAATCTTACTCCTCCTAAGAGTGCACTGAATGGACACATAAAGCTGTAGAGTGACTTAAGGGAGAACAATTTCACAGCACATGGTCACAGCTCATACATACAAGAGACTGAAGCACAAAGACCTGGTTAAAAATTGTGCAAAAACATTTAAACTTCTTTCATTGAGATATTGCATATAGCCAGTGGAGGTGGAGAAACCTTTGCTAATCTCACAGAAGAGCGAAATCATCAAGAAAAAAATGGTGAAGCTATTTTTTTTTAATCTGAAGGTTTGAAGCAATGATATGCACTGCTCTTTGGATATCACCACCATGAAATGAGAACAAAGCTCAGAATTTTTTAAAAATAAACTTTAGAATTGACATTTTACAATATATTTTTGGTACTGCAATACAGTAGGTGATTAAGGACAAATTCAAGCCAAATCCTTTGGGGTCAAATCCTAACCCTGTGATTTACTAGCTCTGTGACCTTGGGTGAATTAATTATATGACCTTTCTATGCCTCAGTCACTTTATCTGTAAAATGAGAATAATGACAATATCGACCTTACAGGTGAATGAATCAAATGCTTACAATAGTAACTAGTATCCATAATAAATAATAGTAAGGAATAATGAACACTAGCCTACACTACTCCAGATGAGCCAGTAATGAGACAGTAAAAAGGCCCAACCCCTTGCCTTTATTCAAGACAACTCTGGAAGTCCATCCCAGCTTCAGAGTTCTTTATGACCTTTGTTACAACTGCATCACAGTTCAACTTCTCTCTGTGCCCAACCAGGCTTTTCCTTTGGTTCTACACAGGTGCTATTTCTAAGAGCAATCCCCAGTAAATTTCTTGGATACAAAAGTCCATCTCAGAATTTGTTTTCAGGGAACTTGACCTAAAAATTTTGGACTTCTGTATGCTTTATGTGCTCTATACTGTTAGGTGCTGGAATTCTACAGTAAACAAAAACAAATAAATAAAAGTAATAAATTGTGATCAGCACTCTGGGGGAAATAAACAGGAAGCTGTGATTAAGAAGCAATAATTCTATTAGAATAATCATGGAAGGTCTGTCTGAGGCACTAATGTTTAAGCTGTGACCTAAAGGATAAGAAGGAACTAGCCAAGTAAAGATTTGGGGAAGTATTCCAGACAAAGGGAACAACCTGTTTGAGTCTCAGGCCTGAGAAAGCGTTTGACACGTTCTAACAAAGTCAACATACTGGCATGGCCCGGAGCACAGTGAGTAAGAGGAGAGTGGCAAAGACAGGTTCGGCAATGGGAAGAGGAACATATCACATAGAGCCAGGATAAGGAATGGGGCTTGATTCTAGGTTCAGTGAAAAGCTGTTAAAGGGCTTTAAACCAAAGGAATGAAATGATCTGACTTTTGGGATTTTTTATTTTTATAGGATCCATTGCTTTTTGGAGAATGGATTGGAAGAGGGCAAAAGTATAAGAAAGGAGACCAGTTAGAAAGTTATACTGTAGTATTCTAATCAAGAGATGATGATGCTTTGGGTTAGGGCCATGCAGAGATTGAAAATGATGAAAAGACAACATACTCCAGATATATTTTGGAGATAGAATTGACAGGACCAGTAATTATATAGTAAATGAACAGTTAATCCCAGAATTTGTGCTGGGAAAGAGCCAGATAATAGAAAGTTTGCTTACCTAGGATGACTTACTTTACACCAACTTTATTTAAAGTAAATTGGCTTAACTTGGAATTTGAAGTAATGAGTGTGGGTAAAATTTCTTATTCCCACAATCTCTCACATGGCCTTAGTGCATCTCCATATCAGTAGGTGTTCCCATTGGATGGAGAGAAGTAGTCCATCTCCATATAAATAGGTGATTACAAGCAGGGTGGGGAGTGAGCATGCAATGGGACAGGAGAGGTATGGTGCAGCCTTGACAGCCTGGTTGCAAGAGATATGGGCAAGCAGGAGGAGATGACTGCTTGTAAGCAATAAACAGGTTTTTCCCACTTTATTTCACCCTTTCACTGATTTCAGCTTCAAAGGTTTATTTGCCCTGGGCTGGCAACATATTTTACCCTGGAGTTACACCTGGTGGAAGTCAGTAGGACCTCTGAACCCAAAATGTCTTTATGGGTTCCATGCTTGGGCAGGCTACCCGTAGAGATGGTGGGGAGATACCGAGAAACCCCACTGTGTGTGGTGAGGAAGCCCCAGTGGCTGCTGTGGTGGACGGTGACAACTCATCCTTCCCTCTGGCAGTGGTGGATGGTGCAGCTTCACCTGGGAAACCCCACCCATGGGACTTCCATTCAGGGAGCCTCTAGTGGGGAATTAGTCTAGGGTAAAGCACCTCCTAGATGGGTGGGCCTTCCCCAGAACTAGGGAAGGGTGGAGACACCGGAAGCTGTGGAATTAGCCCTCCAAGAGATAGAAGACTGCTTAGAGGCCCTGAGTGGCGATGTAGCTGCCGGGATTGTGGGATGTTTGTCCTGAGATGTTAGAAAGTGTTATCAAGGAGAAAGACACACTTCGGCATCACTTAGAGGAGCTGTGTGATGACTTATGGAATTCCCTTAAGAAAGAGAGACAGTTATTGAGAAGACAGGTCACACTCCTGGAAGATACATTAGCAATGAGGGAGGAAGCAGCAAGATAAGCTGTGGTGCAGGAGGCCGTGGGGGAGTGGGAGGAAGGAGCAGAGTCTTCAGCCCTGGAGAGGGTAAAGGAGATGTCAGGAGACGATGACAGTGTGGGGCTGAGGGCAGAACTGTTGCCAGTGCCACAACCACCAGAGGCACCAATCTCTCCTGTATTAAAAGCCAGCCCAGTTGTAATTAAGAACTGCAACAACCACGGGCTCCTCAGGGGGGAAGAGACGCCCCATACCCAGGTTGTGGAGTGCTCCATGCTCCACCCCTATTCCTGGGATGAGCTACTGGGCATGAGCATACAGTGTTGGCAGAAGCCATCAGAACCTCTGCCTACATGGCTTCTGCATCTCTGAGATATGGGGGTCGAAAACATTGTTATGTCAGGTTCCAAAATGCGTAGACTGGCTTCTCTGATGACTCACCCTTCCTCTGGTAGTGGTTGCAAAATGCCTATCACACCTCAGGGAATCAGGTGCTTCTGCATTGGCTGACAGCAGCCTAATCAGGGTGATTTTCCATACTTATTCACTAGCTGGAAAACATGCAGAGCTCTAGCAGGTGTTACAGCAGCTGGGCATGAAAAATATCATCTATAATATGGACCCCAGGGCCCCAATGAGGAGTTTTTCACCATGGGAATGAGAAATCTGGTGCTCCATACAGCTCCCCCATCTGTCTTTGGGTCCCTAGTGACTACTTTTGCTCCCCACATAGGGCAACCCATAAGTGAGGCTTCTCGTACTTTAGCAGATCTGGGGGGAGGTTGAAACAATAAGGGCATGGAAGGAAGTATGAACTATGACTGAAAGGAGAGGTGCAAAGGGCCCCTGTGAAGGTTTCCAGGAGTTGTGGGTTGACTTGATAAAGGCGGAGAGAATGAAAAAAAACTTGATCAACAGCCCAATAGGATCTTGTTGTAACTGTGGCACCATTTAAAGCCAGAGCAGTTTCAGCCGCTGAGGTCCAGGACATGGAAGCCAGAGGCAAAGCCCCATGTCTGAATGTCTGACCTGTGTCCCTGCAAGACTTCCTGGGAGACAGTACTCAGACTCTGCCTGGGCCCTCACCCCCACAGGATGACAATTGGCAATTGTAGTTTGACTGAGGGGAAGGTCAAGTCCCCCATCTTGGAAGACATGGTGGGGACCAGAGGCCACATGTAGAATTAGCAATGCATTGGTCCCTCATGAATGTACAATGTGTCCTGGTGCTGGTGGACACAGGAGCTGAATGTTCTCTGACTTATGGCAACTCTGAGTGTTTTCATGAGACCCCTGCTGTAATAGATGGCTATGGGGGTAAGCCACTTAAAATGAAAAAAACCCAAATCCCATTAAGGGTAGGGTGTTTATCCCTAAAGAAATATACTTTGTACATTTCTCCAATCCCTGAATATATTTTGGGGGTGGATATCATGCAGGGCCTGTGGTTACAGACGACTGCAGGTGAGTTTGGAGTGAGGGTACATGTGGTAAAGGCAGTTCTGAGAGGACATGCCAAATACCCTCCTATAGCTCTGCTGGTACCTTGGTGGGGGACAAATACTAAGCAATATAAATAGCCTGGGGGACACAAGGAAATTGGAGAAACTCTACAGGAGTTGGAGAAGGTGGGCATCATAAAGCCCATTCATAGTCCTTTTAATTTCCCAGTGTGGCCAGTGAAAAAGCCAGAAGGCTCCTGGCTTATGACCATGGATTACAGGCAATTGAATAAAGTCACACCCCCTTTGCATGCTGCTGTTCCCCTCTATAACAGCCCTTATGGACACCCTCAATCATGATCTAAGGATGTATCATTATGTTGTGGACCTTGCTAATGCTTTCTTCTCCTCACATAGCATAGAAAAGTCCAGGGCAGTTTGCCTTCATGTGGGAAGGC